AATCAATCAATAAATAAAAACTAATCAATAAAGAAATAAATAAAAAGTAATCAATAAACGGTAGTCACAAATAATGATCAATGGAAAAAATAATCAATAATAAATAAGTAACATTAAATAATAGTAAAAATGGTAAATTATAATCAATGACAAATACTAAAAAATAATCGATAACAGATGACAGTAAATAATAATGAATAAATAAAAAGTAATCAATAAAGAGTGGTCACAAATAGCGATCAATGGAAAGTAATAATCAATAATTAATAATAATTAATGGTAAATAATATAAATAAATAAAAAGTAATCAATGGACAGTGGTCACAAATAACGATCAGTGGAAAATAATGATCAATAATCAATAACAAATAATAGTAAATCATCAATAACAAAGATGGATAATAATAATCGATAATTAATAATAAGTAATAGTAAATGATATATATAAAAAGTAATCAATAAACATTAGTCATAAATAATAATCAGTAGAAATTAATAATCGATAATCAATTATAAGTAATAGTAAATGATCAATAACAAAGATGGAAAATAAAAATCAATAACAATAAGTAAAAATAATATAAATAAAAAGTAGTCAACAAACGATAAGTAATAGTGAATCATCAATAATGAAGAATGAAAATAATAATCGATAATTAATAATAAGTAATAGTAAATAATATAAATAAAAAGCAGTCAACAAACATCAGTCATAAATAACGATCAATGGAAAATAATTATGAATGATAAGTAATAGTGAATCATCAATAACGAAGAATGAAAATAACAATCGATAATTAATAATAAGTAAAAGTAAATAATATATATAAAAAGTAATCAATAAACATTAGTCATAAATAATAGTCAGTAGAAATTAATAATTGATAATCAATAATAAATAATAGTGAATGATCAATAACAAAGATGGAAAATAAAAATCAATAACAATAAGTAAAAATAATATACATAAAAAGTAGTCAACAAACGATAAGTAATAGTGAATCATCAATAATGAAGAATGAAAATAATAATCGATAATTAATAATAAGTAATAGTAAATAATATAAGTAACTAAAAAGCAGTCAACAAACATCAATCATAAATAACGATCAATGGGAAATAATTATCAATAATAAGTAATAGTGAATGATCAATAACAAAGATGGAAATTAATAATCGATAATCAATAATAAGTAATAGTAAATGATCAATAACAAAGATGGAAAATAATAATCGATCATCAATAATAAGTAATAGTAAGTAATAGAAATAAATAAAAACTAATCAATAAACGCCCCGCCCCCCGCGGCCCCGCCCCCGCGGCCCCGCCGCCCGCTCACCCTCCGAGTAGTGCGACAGCGTCAGGAGGCTCACGCAGGAGGCGCCCGCGCCCGACCCGAACACCGTCACGCGCTTGGGGTCGCCGCCGAAGGCGCCCGCGTTCTCCTCCACCCAGCGCAGCGCCTGGATCTGGTCCAGCAGCCCGTAGTTGCCCTTGGCCGCCTGGTCGCCCGTGCTCAGGAAGCCTGCGGGGCGGGGGGGTCACGGGGGGTCACGCGGGGTCACGCGGGGTCATTCACGGTGATTCGGGGTCATTCAGGGTCACTCGGGGTCACTCGGGGTCACTCGGGGTCATTTGAGGTCACGCGGGGTCATTTGGGGTCATTTGGGGTCATTTGAGGTCATTCGGGGTCATTAGGGGTCATTTGAGGTCATTCGGGGTCATTTGAGGTCATTCGGGGTCATTCGCGGTCATTCGGGGTCATTTGAGGTCATTCGGGGTCATTTGGGGTCATTTGGGGTCATTCGGGGTCATTCGGGGTCATTTGGGGTCATTCGGGGTCATTTGGGGTCATTTGAGGTCATTTGGGGTCATTTGAGGTCATTTGAGGTCATTTGGGGTCATTTGGGGTCATTTGAGGTCATTTGGGGTCATTTGGGGTCATTTGAGGTCATTTGGGGTCATTCGGGGTCATTTGAGGTCATTTGGGGTCATTTGAGGTCATTTGGGGTCATTTGAGGTCATTCGGGGTCATTTGAGGTCATTTGAGGTCATTTGGGGTAATTTGAGGTCATTTGGGGTCATTTGAGGTCATTCGGGGTCATTTGAGGTCATTTGGGGTCATTTGAGGTCATTTGAGGTCATTTGAGGTCATTTGGGGTCATTTGAGGTCATTCGGGGTCATTCGGGGTCATTCGGGGTCATTCGGGGTCATTTGGGGTCATTCGCGGTCATTCGGGGTCGCCCGGGGTCGCCCGGGGTCGGGGGCGTGGCCGGGTCAGGGCGGGGCTCACCGAGCACGCCGAGCCGGTAGTTGACGGTGACGACGACGACGCGGCCGTAGCTGGCGAGGACGCTGCCGTCCACCACGTTGGCCGCGCCCTCCATGTAGGAGCCGCCGTGGATGTAGACCATGACCGGCTTCCGCGCGCCCGCGGCGTCCCGGGGGTCTGCGGGGGGCGGGGCCGGCGGGGGGGCGGGGTCAGCGCGGGGCACTTCCTGTGAGCGCCGCGCCCGCTTCCTGTCTGCGCCACGCCCGCTTCCTGTCTGAAATACTCACTTCCTGTCTGCGACACGCCCACTTCCTGTCTGTGAAACGCCCGCTTCCTGTCTGAAATACTCACTTCCTGTCAGTAAAACTCACTTCCTGTCAGAAATAGTCACTTCCTGCCTGTAAAACACAAACTTCCTGTCTGAAATGTTCACTTCCTGTCATTAAAACTCACTTCCTGTCTGTGAAACACCCACTTCCTGTCATAAATACTCACTTCCTGTCAGTAAAACTCACTTCCTGCCTGTGAAACACCCACTTCCTGTCTGAAATGTTCACTTCCTGTCTGTGAAAAACCCACTTCCTGTCTGAACGATCTACTTCCTGTGTGCGACACGCCCACTTCCCGCCTGCCTCAGCCTCTTCCTGCGCCCGGCACGCCCACTTCCTGTCCCTCCCGCTCACTTCCTGTGTCTGAAAGTCTAACTTCCTGTCTGACGTGAACACGTCATCGCACGTGAGGGGCGGGCGAGTGGCCCCGGCTCATTTGCATAACATTTGCATGCGGTTCCCACAGGAGCTCGCAGTCGCCTTCTGCCTCACGCTTTGCATACGATTTGCATGCGAGTGCGATTTGCATGTGATTTGCATGTGATTTGCATGTCATTTGCATACGAATGTGATCTGCATGTGAGTGTGATTTGCATATGAGTGCGATTTGCATGTGATTTGCATGTCATTTGCATACGAATGTGATTTGCATACGAATGTGATTTGCATGTCATTTGCATGTGACTTGCATACGAATGCGATTTGCATGTGATTTGCATACGAATGTGATTTGCATTTGGCTGTGATTTGCATGTGATTTGCATGTCATTTGCATGTGCGTTTGTCGTTCTGTGTGTGACTCGCTTCCCGTTTGCATATGTTTAGCATGCGATTTGCATACACGTTCTACTGCGTTCATTCATGATCTGCGTATGATTTGCACGTAGTTTGCATGTTTGCATATCGTTTGCATGTTTTGCGCATCGTTTGCATCTGTTTTGCATATATTTTCCGTACCTTTCGCCCGTGCGCCCTGGATCCGTCCCGTTTTATGTTCTGTTTGATTTGCATGTCATTTGCATGTGCGCTTTGCATATCCTCTGCATCTGTGTTTTCTGTTCTGTGTGTGTGACTCGCTTGCCGTTTGCATATGCTTTGCATATCGTTTGCATGTACTTAGCATACGATTTGCATGCACCTTGTAGTGTATTTATTTCTGCTCTGCGTATGTTTTGCATATCGTTTGCATATGATTTGCATATCGTTTGCCCGTGCGCTCTGGATCCGCCCCGTTTTACGTTCCGTGTGATTTGCATGTCATTTGCATGTGCGCTTTGCATATCCTCTGCATCTGTGTTTTCTGTTCTGTGTGTGTGACTCGCTTGCCGTTTGCATATGCTTTGCATATCGTTTGCATGTACTTAGCATACGATTTGCATACACGTTCTACTGCGTTCATTCATGCTCTGCGTATGATTTGCATATCGTTTGCCCGTGCGCTCTGGATCCGCCCCGTTTTACGTTCCGTGTGATTTGCATGTCATTTGCATACATCTGCACAGAACTCGAACGTGTTTTCCGCATCGTTCAACGTCTCTTCCGCGTCTATTTCATATTTCCGGTACGCGGCTCGCGCCTCATTTGCATACACTCTGCATGTCGCTTGCTGCAGCTGGGCGGGGCCCGGGCGGACGCAATGCAGATGAGGGCGGCCGCGTATGCAGATGCGCTGATGGTTATTCGTTCTCCGTGACGCTTTATGCAAATGAGACTCCGTTTATAAAATTTGACCGAAAAATATTCTACGGTTTTCATTTAAATTTTTAGATTTTTTTTTTGTAATAAAAACATTAGGAAATTGAGAAAATAATTCGCGCTTCGCCGTGAAAATCATCCCGGGCGGATCGCGGGGATTTCATTATTTTAATCTTTTCTTTTTATGAATAATAATGAAATTCGTTTTAATTCACGTGTAAAACAAATTAAAAACATGAAAGAAAGCCGAGTTAGTGAAGATACTGAAAAACAAAAATAATTCTTTTTAGTTTTGAGAAAAAATTAAGAATTTTCTGAGACCGAAGAAAACTAATTAAGAAGAAAACGTTACAGTAAAAAAAAATAATCGTTTCTTCATCGTCCCCAGGAGAAAAAATTTTTAAAATAAAAACGTTCACGGGGGCGTTGGAACCAACCGAGAGCTCACGTGAAAAGAAAGCAAGACGAAAATGTAAGGAAAGAAAACGTCTGACCGAAAAAATAAAAACGTGAACAAAAATAATAATAATAATAATAATAATGAAAACAAAATTCAGGAGAAACAAAAAGGACGGAGTCGGATCGCGAAGAAAAAAATAAGAAACTACCTTCGTCGTCACCGCGGGCGCGACCGGCGACGTCGTCCCCCGGTCTCTGAGCGTCGGCTCCTGGGGTTGGGTCCGGGTGGGGAACGGAGGAGGAAATAAAAAAAAATTGCGATGAAGTCGGGACCGGGGAGGGCGGAGGGCTCGCCGCCGCGGCGTCAAAATGGCGGCCGAGGAGACGGGAAACAAAAACAAAACATAAAATTCGGGTTGTTTGTTTCCCGGGGGCCGCGAGACGCTCGATTCGAATAAAGAAAAAAATTTTCTAAAAATTTAAAAACGGAAACGGAGGCTGAGGTCGTTTCCCGTCCGGGTCTCGAACCGGTCGTTTCCGGTTTCGTTTAAAACAAAAAAAAATCCGAAACGTTTTTTTCCAGGAGAGATAACGGCGGATCCATCGCCTCCGCGGGTGACGCGGGCGGGGGTCGCGTGACGTCATCGAGCCGCGGGTGCGAGGGGATCCGCGCGGAGAGGGCCCGGGCGGACGCAGACGCACGGAGACGTATGCAAATGAGACACATGCAAATGAGATGTATGCAAATGAGACACATGCAAATGACACGTGTGCAAACAAATAATGAAGAAAACGGATGACGAAATTCAAATCCATGCAGATTTATTCAAATTCATGCAAATGAGGACCAACCATCCCGACTGCAGCCTCGGCGTGCATGCAAATTTATGCAAATGAGCACGGGTCACATGCAATGAATGCAAATGAGGGAAATCCAGGGAAATAAATGACGACGGAAACGAGTGACGGGCGTTGAAATCCATGCATGTTTATTCAAATTTATGCAAATTAGGAACCATATCCTGACCGCGGCCTGGGTGAGTATGTAAATTTATGCAAATGAAGAAGGATCCAGTCGGCGGATGCAAATGAGATTCGTCGTGGAAAGTAAACAGGAAGGAAAACGAATGAAAGGATGCAAATCCACGCAGATTTATTCAAATCTATGCAAATGAGCACTGACGGGAGAGGATGGATGCGAATGAGACGGATTTAAGAAAGCAAATCACGAAAAACACAAATTTATGCAAATTTATGCAAGCGGGGAACGCCCACGCGCACCGGCGCCGCGGGACGCGTGCAGATCTATGCTAACGAGCGCTAATTAGAGAGGACGGATGCGGACGGGGAAAATAAGGATGAAAATGGACGACGGGCGTTGAGATCCACGCGGGTTTATGCAGATTTATGCAAATGAGCCGTTTGCGCCTCCGAACGCTCACTGCGTGCGATTTGCATATGCAAATGAGCTGCGCGCGGATGAATCCGAAGAGGCTGACGGTTGTGATTTGCATATGCAAATGAGCTCCAGTCAGACAGCCGTGCGCGGGTCCGCGAGGCTCATTTGCATATGTAAATGAGCTCTGCACACACACGGGTGACGTCAGGGCTGACGCGGAGCCCGCGATGACGTCATCCCGGCCCCGCCCCCGCCCCGCCCGCCCGCCCGGCCGCGCTCTCACCGTCCACGGGCGCGTAGACGTTGAGGAAGAGGCAGTCCTCGCTCTGCTCGGCCACGTAGGCGGCGAGCGCGTCCAGGTTGGCGGTGAACCAGGCGGGCAGCATGTCGCGCAGCAGCGTGCGCTCGTCCAGGTGCTGCGGGCACACGGGCGCGAACCGCGTGGCGTTGCGCACGCCCGCCCACGACGACGGCGGCTCGGGCGGCTGGAAGCGCCGCTCGCCCGTGGGCGGGGCCGCGTAGGGCACGCCCAGGAACTGGTCCACGGGGCCCAGCAGCTCGCTCGGCGGCCACGTCCGCACGCCACGCAGCTTCCCGTAGTTCGTGCTCACCACGGGGTACGGCGTGGGCGGGGCCTCGCCCCACGCCAACAGGCACAGCCACGACGCCCACAGCCACGCCCGTGACGCGGACGGCACAGTGGGAGCCCGCGGGCGCGGCATGGCGACGTCAGGGACGCCCGGGGGCGGGAACACGTGGCTTCCGGTGACGCCCCGGCCGCTTCCTGCTGGGAAAACGTCACTTCCTGTTTGAAATATCGACTTCCTGTGATGACCCGGCTACTTCCGGTTGGGAAACTGTCACTTCCGGTTTGAAATACCGACTTCCAGTGACGAAATGGTCAATTCCGGTTTAAAAGATCGATTTCCTGTGACGCCCCGGCTACTTCCGGTTGTGAAACAGTGATTTCCTGTTTGGAAATGGTCACTTCCGGTTTGAAATACCGACTTCCAGTCGTGGAATTGGGGCTAACGTTCAGTACACGGTCACTTCCTGTTGCAGACGGGACAGATCTGGATCGAGGGAACCGAGTCCGGTCAAGAAACGGACACTTCCTGTCAGGAAACAGTCGCTTCCTGTTAGAAAACGGTGACTTCCTTTTCGGGAGAACGATTTCCAGTCATGAAGTGGGCACTTCCTGTCACGATGACTTCACTCCCGTGAGGTAACAGCCACCTCCTGTCAGGAACCGACTGCTTCCGGTTTGTGAGGTCGACGCCCGGTCACGCGACGGACACTTCCTGCTCGAATACCATCACTCCCGGCCTGGCAGCGTCCACTTCCTGTGACGGACTCGTCGCCGACGGTTCAGGAGCCGCTTCCCGTCAACAAACGTCCCCGTCCTGTCGGGGCACGGTCGCTTCCCGTGACGCCGCGGCAGCTTCCGGGTACGTTATCGTCACTTCCTGTTGTACTGACGTCAGTTCTGGTTCCTGATTGTCACTTCCTGTTGCGCGTTCTCGGTTCCTGTCCTGTGTTGGTCACTTCCTGTCAGTTTAATCCACTTCCTGTCAGTTTTCAGTCACTTCCTGTTAGTTTTCAGTCACTTCCTGTCCGTTTAATCCACTTCCTGTCAGTTTTCAGTCACTTCCTGTCAGTTTAATCCACTTCCTGTCAGTTTTCAGTCACTTCCTGTCCGTTTTCAGTCACTTCCTGTCAGTTTAATCCACTTC